AATAATAATAATAATAATAATAATAAAACAAGACCAAAACAATAGGGCTTTTCGCCAAAAGTCGAAAAGCCCTAATAACTAGACCTTTTTTTCGTTGTTCAACGAAAATTGAAGTGCTTTTCGACTCTTCTCCCTTAGCCTTTTATTATTTACCATTAATATAATTCAAACCTGAAAAAAAAAAAAAAAAAAAAAAAAAAAAACCTACTTTCATCCTTTTTAGTCAGAGGACCTTGACCTTTGACCTTTTGAACACAATAAACCCATTAGTAAGCTAAAGATTTCTGTAATGTATATTCTTTATATACATAAACATACTTTACTTTCACCCCCCCCCCTCTTTTTTCCCTGCGCAATGGCTACGTAGATTTTTTCTCCAAACTCTAATCCAGACATCGTATTAACCTAAAATTTCAGAATACTTTACAAAACACCCCATAAAAACTTTCTGGAAAGTTTAAAAGGCATTGTCTCATTTACCTAGAAGATATAGTTTTTATCGGCAAGAACAAGAAATTCAGAAGTGCCTAAAATTTCTTTTCTGGTGATCGGAGAAACAAGATATACATTTTATGTAGAATTTCTTCAAATATCTTTGATGTCATTTCTTTCTTCTGTTATGATTAGTCAATTTCCTTTCAGATATTTATCTTCTTTTTCAAACATCAAATTTATTTTAATTTAATTTAGAATTAATTCATCTTGTAAAATATGCTTTTTTTGTGTGATCATGAAATGAGATTCATGTTTTTTTTTTCCCTGTACCTTCTAACTTTACATGATTTGACTTTAATCTATGAAAGTCCGTCTACGAAACACTTGAGGATCCACCCCCGTATTTTTGTTCTACGCATTTTAGGTGGCAGCGAATTTAGTTTCGTACTAAAGTCCCGGTCAAATATCTTAAAACACTGAGATCTCTTATGTTTGATGTGATATTCGATGTAGCAAAATGAAAGGAACCATTCTGGGATACATGGCGAGTCTAGCAGAGCGCTTGTTGAAAAAGTATAGTTACGCAGCCAACAGGACCAAACCTTCCTTTCGCTTTCTACGCTCGCCAACCGTGCAAAGAACGATAACTCTAATTACGCGATGAAATCAAGAGAACTGTAAAAGTACTGTTTTTCAGGCCTCTGAAACTCCTATAAGGGGTCAAAAAGTGACCCCACGGACCATAATTTTTAAAATGTATTCTTCGTGCTTAACTCAAATCCGAACGCTGTTTACAGATCTGTTGAGAAATAAAAAAGTTACAGGGAAAAGCTGTCTTGTTGTACTGGCCCCTAAAAATCCCTTATTTTGTGGAATTTTGTTTTCATCACCTAATCACCTGAAGACAGTGTAAAAGTAAGTATTCCACTTAAATATGACAAGAATTGCTTGCTTCCTTTCTGAAATAATGGAACATGCGTCATTTCAATTTAACATAGAAACTCTCATAGACAATTTTTGGGGACTCATAAAACCGAAAGTTCTGCTTGGATTGACTTGAAACTTATAGTACATGTTCTATTAATCACTTTTAACAATATGTAGTCTTCAAAATATTTTTCCTATATGGTTTTGAAATTTTAAAATTTCCATCCCCCCTTTTTCTTAACTTTGGAGTCTTACAACACAAAAATGTATCATAGGTACAACAACGCTGTCGCTAACTTTTTTGTAGGATTTCCTTTGAAGAATCTATTGCTAAAATTTGAATGAATTTCCATATCAAATAAGAATTGTTTAAGCTCCTAAAGAAATCTGAGTTTTCTACTTGTAAATACCGGAAGTGAAGTTTCCGGAAGTACAAAACCTTACATACGGGAGAGATTCAGATAAGCTGCCTAACGGTTTTATTATAAAATACATATAACCAAAGGTTTTCTTTAAATCCGAAACGTAAAAGTGTTAGGTATAATAATAATAATAATAATAATAAAACAAGACGAAAACAATAGGGCTTTTCGCCAAAAGTCGAAAAGCCCTAATAAAGAAGTAGGCAGAATAAGAATAAAAGCAAGATAAATAGACTTTAGGCGGTAATTCCCTTCCATACTATTACAAAATTGTTTTGAATTCGATAAACGAATTGTCGAATTTGTTAAAACGAATAAAATTCGTTATAACAATTTTTTGAATTCGTTATAATGAATTAAATTTGTTTTACATGTAACATAATTGTTAAATTCATTATTAATAACGAATTCAAAGATTTGTTATAACAGATTTTATTCGTAATAATGAATTCTTAAATTTGTTATAACAAATTAAGTTCTTTTAAACAGATTCAAAAAGAGCCATAGCTGCCTCTACGACGACACGGCCGACTCAAGAATTTAAAAGGAAATCACCTGTTTCTATTTATAGATATACCTTTTCAATTCAAGATCAAACTATGTAATATGATTTGAGGACTAGTGTTTTTATTTTGTTCAATACTCTAATTTTGAGACAAAAGATTTAGAAAATCAATTAAAATAAAACAAGTAGCTATGAATTTGCAAACTTTAATAAAATAGTTTAGGACTGTATTTTCCCGAGATACATGTACTTTCAAAGTGTGTATATTATAACTTTCTGAAATTATGTATATTATAAAACGTAATAAAGAAAAACGTAGAAAAGATACAAAAAAAAAAAAAGAAAAAAAAAAAAAGAAAAGCATAAATGGAAAAATGTGGGGCTCGAACTCGCAATCACCATATTTACATTCCAGCAATCATACCACTGCGCCAACGAAGTGAATGACGTCGGATGGATAGATTTAAGACAGATTGCTAAATCTTACGATTATATGAGAAGAAAAATTGAATATATATTTTCATCATTTTCAATATGAAGACCACCTTTAACCAAAATTATCTAAATGTAATGAAGTGCAGTCATATCCAAATAAAATTATTCAAAAGTTGTTTTTCTGGTTAAGGGTGGTCTTTGGCAACATTGTGTCATCTTTAGGTGGATACCTCAATATTTACTATATACTCCATACAAACTGGATAATTTTCATATTTATCATATGAGGGAACTATTAATATTGAAATATCAATATTGTGTGATTTGGTTTTACGCATGTGTAAACTAAGATTGTATGACAAAATTTTGGTTAAACAATGAATTTCAGAAATCACTAGTAGAGTAGGCGAAAATGCCTATCAAATGCGCTATGGCTCTTTGTACTAACGAATTCAATTCATTTAATCAAATTCAACAATTCGAGCCTATGTTTAAATATATATGAATTCGATATATCGAATTACTGAATTTGTTAAAACGAATTAAATTCTTATAACAAATTAAAGGATTCGTTTCAAAGAATTTAATTCGTTATAACAAGTTTAAGAATCGTTCAAAAGAGTTTAATTTGTTAAAACAAATTTTTGGATTCGTTATATCAAATTAAAGAAATTTGTTACAACGAATTAAATTCGCAATATCAAATTGGACAATTCGTTATATCGAATTCCAAATTATTTTTAATAGATCCTATATTGACTTCCGTAATGGAACACTCTTTCACCAAAAAAATTAATCTTTTCATTGTATTAATTTGTTTTAGAAATTTCTCCAAAGAAACACCCTGCAGACACCATACAGACTGCTTTAGCACGCTACAGTTTTGGCCCGATTTCGATATAACTTGGCAAAAAAGTAAACTACGCTGAGATACATGATAATCTCTGTATCGGTTTTCGAATTCAATGAACGATGTTGACATGGTTACTAAAAATAGAAATTTCTGTGAAATACTTTCAAAACGCCATTCCCACTAAAGTTTTGGTCTGATTTCATTGTAACTTGATAAACATTTAGACCACGTCGCAAACGGTATAATTTTTTGGAGTTTTTGATACTACAAACATTAAGAACACAAACACAAAGAAAAATACATGAATTAATTTCTCCAAAAATGGTGAGCACGATGATCATTTAATTTATGAAATGGTGACGCTTCGGTTAACATTATCATTATTTATCAGTTAAGACATTTAAATTTAAGTGCTTTTTTAGCTCTACTGGTCAGAGACCAGAAGAGCTTATGCGATAGTAAGGTGTCCGTCGTCCTCCCGTCTGTCTGTCTGTAAACAGTTTCCAAAATGCTACTTCTCCAACAGTTTTGGCCCGATTTCAATATAATTTTGCAAAAGGTAGACTACGCTAAGATACATGATAATTCTCTGTATCGGTTTTCGAATTCAATGAACGATGTTGACATGGTAACTAAAAATAGAAATTTCTGTAAAATACTTTCAAAACGCCATTCCTCCTACAGTTTTGGTCTGATTTCATTATAACTTGACAAACAAATAGACTACACTGATATACATAATTCTGTATAACGGTTTTTGATTTCAAAAACAATGTTGTCACGGTTACTAAAAATAGAAATTTTTGTAAAATACTTTCAAAACGCCTTTCTTCTAACACTTTTGGTCTTATTTTAATATAACTTAGCACACACGTAGACTACACTAAGTATCATAATTCTGTGTATTGGTTTTAGATTTCGATAAATGGTGTTGCCATAGTTACTAAAACTAGAAATTTAGTATCTGTGAAATAGGCCCTACTTTCAAAACGCTACTGTTTTGGTCTGATTTCAACAAAACCTGGCACAAAACTAGATTACACAGGGATACATACATGTAATAGTCTTTATCTTTTTTTTTTTCTTTTTGATTTTGATGAACGATATTGTCATGGTTATAAAAAATAGAAAATTCTGTAAAATTCTTTCAAAAGGCTACTCCTACAGTTTTAGTCTGATTGCAATAAATCTTGTCACAAAAAGAGACTAAAGCAAGGATCATTATTCTATCTATTGCTGTTGCAAAGGTTTGAGCTTTGAGTTAAAAACAAACCAGAGGAGCTACAGTCTCATCAGAGCTCTTGTTTTTACTTTGATAACATATTTATATATCAAACACATCATGAACACGTTTTGAGAAGCAAAATAATAATTTTCTTTGATGGTGCTTAGCAATTTTGAATAGTGATAACAAATACATTACTTTGTTATGTTGAAGATCAGTCTGTAGGAAGTCCATACAATTGTCATTATCCTGGACGTAGGTCTCTGTGAAGGGGTTTTCTTTACAACAGTAAATAGGTATTTTATCGGCAGACAGATAACTTGATATCTCACTGCCTGCATAATCAAAAATACCGCAACATTCCGCCTACAACAAGAATATTTTAAAAGTATATACAGCTGATATATGCTGTTGTTTTAACTATATGCCCATGTTTGTTATGAGTTTCAAAACATGATGTGATATATTACATTTTCAATTCTGATATTAGCAAGGATATGAATTTAGAAAGAGCATAAATATGAAATATAATAAATAAATAAAATAAGAATCCTTTTGGCTACTAAGATAAGTTAAGTGGTTAATCAAAACAAACGTTTGCTATAATCTTTAAATGCAACTGCCTCGCCTTATACTTGTCTAATCCAATTACAAATATGGATATAAGGTTTGATTAACTTAAAATAGCCCACTTCTTTAATTTGATAGGCAGTTTTAGAATTAAAATTTCACAACTAAACAATCCCTTGCATGTTAATACTGCCTATCATAATAGAGGATATTCATTGTTTTGTAGTTGAATATGGCATTAATATCACGAGTGGGACAGGATTTTTTTTTTTATACTTTCACGAGTGCAAAACACGAGAGAAAATATCAAAAAACATTGGTTTTTCTGTTTATTACATTTTCTTTGAATTTTCCATTTCTTCTGTGTTAGCGTAACTCAGTGTCGTAGTTTGTGATGTCAGTGTTGAAGGACTGAGACGTCATAGCTAAGCGATTTCGAGATTAAACATGGATTTTAGCAATTATTTGGAAACGCTTTGTAGTTTATTAAAAATCATTTTCTCACAACGGGCTAGGGAGTTATTTTGCAGCAATCTTTGTGAAGGAAAGGAAAATTAGGAGTTTTGTTGCACTTCTGATATTTTTTTTTAAGAAAGTTTCAAACGTTTTTGATTTTTAGAAACTTAGAATTTTGAATCAAAGATTTAAATTTTAAATTATCAAAAAACTTTTTACATGTTGAGTTTATAGAAGTTTACTTCAAATATCCAAAATATCAAAGAAGATGGATGAACTTGACGAGCGAAAAGCCTATTGTGTGACAAACATGAGGGTAAAAAATTAAGTAATTAAATCTCAATTATATCAAAATTTTTCTTGATATTTCATCTAAGATTATACTTTATGTAAAAATCTCCATAATTTGCAAAAAATTTTCAAAGATAAAAATCATTTGCCTATGAAATATTATACACACACTAAAGAGGGCAGAAAGAGTCATTTTTTCATACTATAACATTATTTTTCGATATGAGTGGGTCTTCGCTCCATTTTTGTGAAAGTTACATGTAATCCTCAAAGTTTGCATAAAAATATACATTTTTTGGTTACCAAAAATATAGAACAAGGACCCACTATACCTTAAAAATGTACTTTTATGACATAACATTCGCATCTTTTCGAGAAATACTTGAAGTCCATTAAGTCAAGGGTCATATCACAAACATGATTTGAATGCCACTATTCATCAGGACTTGTGTAGTCTAGTGGTTAGCGTGCTAGTCTCGAAAGAAAATGATGCTCAGGAATTTTATTGCTAGGGTTCGAACCCCACGAACACCACATTATTTTTAATAAAAGAATAAATCTTGCAGAGAAAAATTTTCCTCAGAAAAGTTGTGTTTACCATAATTTCATAAATTTCAATAATGTGAACTTTACTCTAAAATACTAAATCCACAAATTGAACATGATTTTTATATATTTGAAGCTTTAGGCTTTCTGCACGCTGTGTTCGCCCATCTCCTTTCCAAAGCCAATGTGATTTTTGAAACACGGTCGATATCAATCCAACTTCTAAAATTCTAAAAGACTCATTACTTTATTGAAAAGATTTTCCAGACATTGATCACGGAAGTAAAAGTAGCGCCAGTCAACTCGCCCCTCGGTTGAATTACCACATTTCATGAAGGCTCCAATGCATATTTTACAAACATAACATTCAGAAGGACGATAAAATAATATGGACGTAAAAAATGGTTTATTTTATTCCTAACATTTGATGCATTGATTAGTAGTCAAGGCATATAAATAGAACCAGGGTTGGGGTGGGGGGTGGGGGTGGAGGTGGGAGTTATCTCTTGGACATTGCAAAAGAATTTATTCCGGTAATCGTATATCAAGTTAAAAAGCTCAGAGATGTCTTTTGTACTGTTTATCTTCTTCCTAAGCTAACATTTCTGTGTTCCTCGCACTGGCAAATTAATGAATTCAGGCTGCGGATCCAGGAACTTTTTCCAGGGGGGGGGGGGGGGGTTCCACCCCAGTCAAAAAAAAAAAAAAGGTCGATCAATCTAATTTTTTAATTAAAGTGTATATTGAATTTTTTAAAAAGAAATATAAATTATGGCAATGGAATTGAGATGATTTAGACCTCGTCACATTTTAAACAAATAATTGCAGATAGAGATTCGAGATGCACCATGAAGTTTCAGTTGTGCATCATTCTCTTAAATCATAAATGAGACTTCAATAATATATCATCGACAATTTAATTAACACCAAAAGTTAATATAATTAAAAGAGCTATGTTTTTTCTCTCTTACCAGTACTGTTTATTTCTCTAAAGTAATAAATATGCTTGCTCATATGTTATTGTATGAATAATACCCCATACCAAGGCGAAAAGGTTACTCCAAGCTGACGATGCTGTATTTGAAAATATGTATCCTACATTTTCGTTGTATCCATAATTTCGTAAAAACGAGGTCATCTCGTTTGCCAGTCTATAGCTTATCTGTAATAAGAGAACACTTTAATGAAATGCAGCTGATCTTCTGTAAAAAATAAATTGGCAAAAACATGAGAGTTTGCATTTTAAAACCTTATACTGAACAGTGAAATACCTTTACGAGGGTCGTTCAATAAATAACGCAATAGGTCATCTAAAAGTGAGACAAGTACGTAATACATATTCTGAACACTTTCAATCCCTTAAAGCATTTCCTGTTACCCTTTACACGTGTCCAAAGTCTTTGTACCCATGACCAGAAAACCTAGAGCATACTCATCTTTAGGGATGCCCCAAAGACACTGAAGAATATCACTTCCCATGACATATCTTATTGAACAATCTTCCTTTCATTGTTTTCATGCGTTTATGGAATAAAAAGATATCACAATGGCTGAGATCTAGCGAAAATGGGGGGTGGCCTACTTGACCTACTTTTGAAAAACTTTAATCTTGGCCATAACTTTAAACATTTGGTGCTAGGGCTTTCATACTTCACATGTGCATTCCTTGTTCCTATGGATACCAACAATTTTGGCATTGACCTTGACTTTGGAGTTTGACCTACTTTTAAAAAACTTTAACCCTGGCCATAACAGGTGAACGTTTGGTTCTACATGTAGGGCTTTCACATTTCACAAACATGTGTTTCACTGTGACAAGACCTTCCCTTGGGCCCCATTTGACGTTGACCTTGCCGTTTTACTTTCTTTTAAACAACTTTAACCTTCGCCATAACTTTTGAACAGTTGGTGCTAGGGCTTTCAAATTTCACAGGTATATTCCTCGAGATGAGACCTTTCTTTGGGTACCAACATTTTTGATCTCTTGACCTGGAGTTTGACTTTCATTAGAGAAACTTTAACCTTCGTCATAAGCCGCTATACGAGGGCATCAATGTTTCACAAACATATCTTGTTTTCTTCAGAATTTCATTTATTGCTCTGTGCTTATTTCACGAAAGCCTATTAGGATCAATCTATGGATAAATAAATTTAAAAAGCGTTACAAACCCTTTCGAAAAGGCGTAATAATGCGAAAAAAGCGTTATCACGCCTTTCAAACAGGCGTAATTACGCCTTTCAAACAGGCGTAATTACGTCTTTCTTAAGTATAGTTCACTATAGAATATACTTCAAGTCTTTCATGCACATACTTTACTTTGATTTTTTGATTAACTATGAAATATTACAATTTTACCAGTATATTTCGATTTACTATGAAACTTTTTTGAGATCTGTAGCATCAGTAACTCCTACGCTCTATGTCAATGATTTAAATTTAGGAAATATATGAATATACAAGTAATTTTTTCTTTTAATATCAAAAAATTGCATGCAAGAAGAAAATGAAAAAACCCCCTGAAGTTCAATGTATAAATGCAGACCCGTAGGAAGCAATTTCAGTTGGGGGGGGGGGGCAAAGCCAAAGATTTTCAGTTGGGGGGGGCACTATCAACTACCAGAATTCTTTGACATGCAAAAAAAAAAAAAGTCATCAGACGTTTTTATTGAGGGGGCACAATCATATAGTAGCTAAGTTTTCTATAGTATTCTAGATATCGGCAAAATTATTGGGGGGGGACGTGTGCCCCCCCCCCCCTCCCCCTGGTGCCATGAAATGCTTTTGTTCACTAAAGTAAATGACTAAAATCTTTGATAACAGGGAAGGAGTAAAGTGCGATGGACCAGACCAGGATTCGAACCAAGGGGACCTCGGTTTGAATCCTGGTCTGGTCCATCGCAAGTGAATGACTAGTAAGGTGCTCAACTAATGAGCTACCTGGCTACCGGCGATCAAACCTGTCTCGCCGCCACATTCCTCCCTCCTTAAATGTCTTCGCACCAAAGACACCAACCTAGGCTCTTTACTTGCAGGTCTTTCACCTGGTCTTTTAGGGCATTACCACGACAACAATGTAAAAGGAAAGAAAAAGACCAGTCCAGAATTCGAACCCAGCCCTCTGAATCACTAGTCCCGTCTCTACCAGCTGAGCTATCTGGCCAACGGCGATCGAACCTGTCCGACTGCCATTTTACTCTAGCAAACTATTGGGTTTTTGTTGTTGTTGGTGGTGGGTTTTTTTTGTTTTTGTTTGTTTGTTTGTTTGTTTTTGTTTTTTTTTGTTTTGTAAATGAGGTATCGCAGTTTTTTCTTTAGTAAAAAATAAAATGGTCTTTCTTTTTTTAAAATCACTTTTCTATTTCACAATGCTTTGTAAATCAGTTAACATTTATTTTCATTGCTGCGAAAATCTTTAAATCAAAGTATTAATTGCTGATTTTGCAGTACGTATGTACATGAATGTACTAGACAGACAAAATATAACAAGAGGCCCAAGGGCTTAAATGGTCGCTCGAGTATAATACAACAATTTAAAACTATGGAAGTACTTTTTGTATTATACAATAAAATTTTTTGCATAATTCTATTAACCTTTCAATAACCTTAATTGCAATGATTACTTATCAAAGTAAATGCCAAGGTGTAATAATTTCTCTCAGTAGAATACAAATTTATAGAGCCCTGGCCAGGAACACTTGACAAAATAGTAGAGATGTTCACAATTCTGGTAAAAATACCTTTACTTATTAAAACTTTTACTATATTTGCCTCCGATATGCCCATGAGCATAGATTTTCACAGAAATAATGCATTTTCACTACCGATTCAAAACAGCCCTACTCTAACACCAGAATCCATGACCCAGTGTCATGAAATTCTCAAATTTGGAAAAGGTTCCCTCATTATCATACTTATGTACTTAGTTGAAGATTTTCAAAGAATTAAAACATTTTCACTACATTATCAATAGAGCAGCCCCACAAGAACCCCTGACCCTGGGACCACAAACAAGTTTTAAAAATATAATTATACACCTTGTTTACCTGCTCAACACTAAGGAGGAGACAGAATTATTTAAAAGAATTAATGCATTTTCACTATATTATTCAAAGAGCCCCACCCTTCACCATAACATCTTACTAAGGAGCCATGAAGCTAACAATTCTGAGAGAAGCACCCTTGCTCATCATAACTATACACTTAGTTTCTTTGCTTTATAACCAGGAGCAGAAAAAGAATATTTTCAAAGAAATTATGCTTTTTCACCAAATAATCAATAGAGCTCCCCCCTTTCCACCAGTACCCCCAAAACGGGGGCCATGAATTTCACAATTTTGGAAGATGCATCCTTTCTTATCATAACCATGCACTTAGTTTGTTTTAATTATACCCAGGAGCAGAGAAGACTTTCAAAGAATTAATGCATTTTCACTATATAATCAATAGAGCCCCGCGCTAGCCCCAGAACCCCTGACCCAGGGGGCATGAAATTCACAATTTTAGAAGAGACAGCCTTGCTCGTCATAAAGCATGCTCTTAGTTTCTTTGTTTAATATACAGGAGGAGAGAAGAAGCTTTTTAAAGAATATAATTTCACTATGTGATCAATCAAGCCCCATCCTAACTCCTGAATCCCTGACCCTGGGGCCAGGAATTTCACAATTAAGTTAAAGGATTTAATGTATGTTATAATCATGACAACAGTTTGCTTGATGTCTAGGAGTAGAAAAGAAGATTTTATGAAATTTTCACTAATTTTTATGGTTTTGGCCCTACCCCTCAGACCCTGCGGGGGCAGGTACCATGAAATTCACAATTTTTGTCCCCCTTTGCCCAGAGTTGCTCTTTACCAAAATATGTTAAAATTGGTTCGGCGGCTCCAGAGAAGAAGCTGAAAATGTTCAAAAGTTTACGTCCGACAAACGACGCACACCGACGGACGAAAACGGATTGCAATAGGTCACCTGAGTTACTCAAGTGACCTAAAAATAAGAAAATGTAACATACAACGTATGATTTGTTGGACCTTTGTATTAAAAACCTTCGGTAACATTTCTTTCTACCAAGTCCAAAAATTCATATGTTTTTCTCATACTCAAACAATATTAAACAACCTCCAAGTGTTTTTTCTGAATATGGGACAAGGCCTAGCGACATTAACTTGTATTGACATGACAACGCGAAATGTAATAGCAACGCAAAATGTAATAAACTGGGATTATTGCGTTTTGCGTTATTATATTTTGCGTCGATATCAACGCAGAATGTAATAACGCAAGATGTAAAAACATACTTTTTAAGATTATTAAATGTTGCGTTATTACATTTTGCGTCGAGATCAACGCAAAATGTAATAACACGATTTTTAGATTATTACATTTTGCGTTGTTACATTTTGCGTCGAGGTTAAGCAAAATGCAACAACGCAAAATGTAATAACATACTTTAAATAATTAAAAAGTCAGGTTGAGAATAATTTTCAATTGAGTAGTGGATGAAGAAAATGAAAAAAAAAATTAACAAAAGGAAAAATAAACATATGCTAATTCTTTCATTAGATCTGATTTTATCATATATTGATTTCATTAGCCATTTAAAATCAGCTGATATCCAAATCATAGGTACACTGTATTGCAAATAAGAAACGCGCGTGCTCACGTACATGTATTTGTGTGTGTGTGGGGGGGGGGGAGTTATTTCGTTGATCAGTGTATCAGTTTGCGTTTGCTGTTTGATAGGCACATGCCTGAAATTTAGAAAAGAAATCTATTTATTTTTACTGGCAGGTGTAAATATAGCGGGAAGGGGGTTTCTTGACAATTAAGATTTCATACTGTTTTACAAATCATGTGCAGTGCAGACCAGCAAAAGTAAAATTCTCTGCCTCTCTCTCTCCCTCTCTCTCTTCAACAATAAAACGGATAGTTTCTGCATGTGCATAAAAATACAAGGATCAACATACGAGTAACCCCTACCCATCACTTCACCTCGCTAGACACAAACACATGCACTTCTAATTCGCTAACCAATGTACACATGCACGTCGTACATGTATATCAAGAGTTTTTAATGGACACATGGTCAATCTTTGATAATTAAGAATGTCAGTGATAGATATATAATACAGACTGATTTATAAATAGACATGCCAATCAAAGTTTAAGTATTCAATAAAAATGTTAGAAACAGCGTTAAAAAATAAACAATAAGATTTAGTAATATCCTTAAAAACCGTAACGTTAAACTTTGTCTCATGGTCATAGATATGTCTGTTTATTTAGTGAAGCGAGTTTCCCCATTGTTATATGTTTCAATCAATGTGATGTTTCGCGTTGTACACAATGCCAAAAAAAAAATATTTTGTTTTATTACATTTTGCGTTGTCCTCAACGCAAAAATTAAGTAACGCAAAATGTAACAAACAAAAAGTGCATTATTACATTTCGCGTTAATCCTAACGCAAAATGTAACAATCCAAAAATCGTGCTATTACATTTTGCGTTATTACATTCTGCGTTGATCTCGACGCAAAATGTAATAACACAACATGCAATAAATCCAGTTTATTACATTTTGCGTTGTTATTACATTTCGCGTTGTAACAATGCACCTCTAAATTCTTTAAATCATTTCTTAGTGTTGGAATTATCCAACATTAAGAATTCATGTTATTGTATCTTTACTTAATTGTTAGAACTTTATGTGTAAAAATACATTTTAAAAGATCTCTAGAAAAGACCAAAGAGTAATTGAGGACAAATATGTCTGTAAAATAAGTTGTGGGTGAAGAAAAAATGTATATTTAATTTGAAACTGAATATTATTTCAACAATCATACTGTATTGCAAAATACAATGAAAAAATGTAACAAGAAAAACGTGAGGACCAAAAAATGTGAAATCCATGAACATTTTCGAGGTGATACCCGCCTTCTTTAGAAAATTCGAATGGTGTTATAATTGATTGTAGGATACTACAAGATAATCATTAATTATTCTTTGTGGCTGCAAACATCATCCTATTGTTTGGTCATAAAAGATATAACAGGGTAGTATACAATTGATATATATTTTAATATAGAACATTTGCAAGATAACCCAGTTTCCTTTTTTTTTTTCAATTTAATGATTGAACATGCATTGAATATATCATGTTCAATCAGTGACCATGCATCATTTACTTCTATATAACTCAAGTCTGTCTTTAATATTTTAGTAGTTTTTAACACCTTGTACGATCAGTTTAAACAGTCATGGTACAGTGAAATGTTTAAAAGCCTCAATGATAGAATATTTACGACTTTATTTTTTCTAGAAAAGTATTTGGTATCTTTGCCTTGCAAGTATTAAATTTTTTTTGTATGTTTAGTACTTGCAATACATAATTTTCTATTGAATTTGGGAGATAAAAATGTACCAAAAGAAAATAGAATTTGTAAGTTATGTTCGAAAAAGGAAACTGGTGATAAATATCATTACTTATTTAATTGTAATTGATCCATCTATTTTGAAATCAAGATTGTCATTTATTTCAAAGAACTTCTATTTATATCTCCATGTATATGCATGTTTATACCTTTAAACAATTTTTTAATGCAAGAATACAGTTAAATTGGAAAAAGTATGTATATTTTATAAAAACTATCATTGAGAGAGTTAGCTGTCCTGGTTAGCTGATTCTAAGCTTTTTTGTCTTTGTACTTTTTCTTTTTCACGAATGCATATATTAAACTATACTTGTAATTTGTCCCTACACTGTTTTTGTGTTAATGCATAAGAATAAATTCATTGTTATTGTCATGAAAGAATGGCAATATATAATTGATATACTTGAATATAGGGACATTTCCCAAATTTCTGTCTTTTTCATTTAATAACTAAACATACATTGAATATAGCATGTTCAATGAATTTATATGGAAAAAAATCAAGCCCCTCTTTATATTTCACTATTTGATATTGTTGTTCATTATACTTACTGTATCTTTTGACTTTCCCCAAAGCCCAGTACCAATAACCATTAAAGAACAGCACAGGCTGACCAAAATTATTTGCTACAACAGCAATCATTTTCATTATTATCATTCACAAATAGCAAGAGAGAGAGAGAGAAATACCTATTTAGAATTTACAAAACACTATGCATATATGTTATCCATACCCTCAATATTAGAGGTATTAATGTGGTAAAATAAATTTTAAAAATTGTCAAATCAATTCAAGATAATGGCTCATAATAAAATTGGCTGAAACTCTTACTTGATAAATCATAAATATGAAAAGTGGCAAAACTAAATATGTGCTTTTAAAATACTCACAATGATATGAAGATATTTTGATTTTGTTCTTAAGGTAAACATTCCTATCACGGAAACCATCAGAATTACAATAGCTGAAGAAATCATAAATGCCGAATAAGACTGGCGTATATGATTGAAGGACAAGCCATCAAAGGATAAGGCACTCCAGAGGACATCCCGGATAATGTCATGGTTGAACACTTTATCGTAAATCAACACTAATCCTTCTGTAAATAGTCCCACTGCAATCATCTGGAAATGTGAATTAATTAATATTCATTAGCTTAATTGTGCTAAAACATATTCTGAAATAATGCAGTGTAAATTGAATGTTACGCTTTAAACGCTGATGATGAGAAAAGGAGAATATGAATAAAATGACATTGTTCACGATAACAGTCTATTAATTCAATTGCGTTGATTTTCACAATTACAATTAGCAGGCCTGTCAAAATTTCTAATGGAAATATTTCACTTTAAAATGCACCAATTGGAAAAAAAAACATTGTTAGGAGGTAAAACATATCCATAAAAAATCACTAGTCGGAAGATATTAAATGATTAATTAAGAAATAAACAACAATGTTAAAAAGTTCTCTGGGAAATGAACTTGGTTGGTCACGTGATCAAATCCTGTGAAGCCCGAAGGGCTTTTCAGAAGATTTGATCACGTACCAACCAAGTTCATTTCCCAGTGAACTTTTTAACATTGTTGTTTATTACTTTTATTTACATTTGAGAGGAATATTCTGAATAGAACTGCATTTATTACACGAACGGCCCGCCGTATTGCTATGTTGTGACGCGCAATGACCTAGAAGTTGTTTGGTCTTGAGAGTTCGCCTCGCTCCAACATTTGAATACTTACATTAATGTTTAGCAGTCCAGTTCAGGAAATATCTGTTCATAATGAAAAAACAATGATCGCTACTGGGAATTATCTTACTATTATTGTACGAGTTCTTTATATATAAAGTCAAAAGCGGTGCTATCGTCTTCAGTTTACATACCTTCAAAGGAATTTCGGGTTAAAAAGGTAAGCGTGATTTTAGGCTAATTAGAAACATTCTTCACACCGAAGAAAGATCTAACGATCATTTGTTGAACGAAAAAAAAATATATGTTTCAATAATTTTATCTTTTTCATCGCTTTGACGGTTCAGAAGTTCCGAAACCAGTGTCACTGTGACAGAAATATGTAGACAAGATATCGTCTCGCTGTGTGATTCGGTCACGCCATGACCTCTGACCCCCTAATAAGTTCATACAGAATTGAACATATTTTCTCTTCTATAGGTTCATCTAAGAAAAATATTCGCAAATGTAAATAAATTAAAAATGTGGTTTAAAAACCTTCAAAACATGCACAGTTTAAAAATATTTAGCATTTTCGTTCACGTTACTGGAAAAAAAAATAATTGTATTGAAGGTTTTTAACCACTGTAGTATCATAGTGTAAAATTGACCCTCTGATATATTTTCTATTTTAAGTATAAATTTATTATCAATTTCAAATTATTTTTATTTCATTAATTTTTATTTACCAGTTGGTATTTTTATTTACTGCAATAAAATTCATGGCTTTGGATTTAGAAGAAATAATAACTTGAGGCCCTTTGTCAGTTTTCTTGAGAAAAGTTGTGAAATCAATTAGTGTCATCCTTTCGTGTAAAATCTGTGCTTTTCTTAGTTTTCCGCAAATGGAACTTTGTTTTCTTAATTACTTAAATTGTATTTTGCCGTAAAGCCCTATTGTTAATCTTCCGTTTGATGTCGAGTCTGAGTCCTTTTAGATTAACGCCCTTTTGTAACAATTAGTGGCAAGAATAACTCAACACCTGGACAGGGGACGCTATCGGGTTTTTGTCCGTCACTTTTGCGACGGACATTCACGAATAAACAGCTTTAATTTTAAGACTGTCTCCTGTCCTGTTTTTCAGGTAATGTAGATTTACTTTGTACTTTGTATTTTCCTTTATTTTCATTTTTATATTTTGTTTAATAGTTCATGTTGATAAAATACATGTAGTAAGTAATAATCCCATATTCACAAAATGTTACTTTTCACAAATCTGTAGATAAACATATGTTGTATTTTATATTTGAAAAGTATGTGTCATGAAACAAAATTATTAAGTAGTGTTTTATAGAGGTTTTGAAAGAAGTCATTAAGTCGATTTTACTGTTTTGACCTTTCCGGATATTTTGCATCTATTTTGTACTGGTTTTCTATTTAGTATTCAAAATATTGTTGTACAAGTAAACGTGCAGTCGATTTTACTGTTCTACTCTATTAATCGTTTGTAAAAAGGAAAAATGCTGAAAGTATCTATGTAAGTAAACATGTTCTTATGATGCATAACTATTATACATGCTGTAGGTGTAGATTGTTTGTAAAATCATATGCAAGACTAGTAGAACGTAGCTTAGTACATGTGTACTTGTACTCAATGACCGAATATGGTAAATGTACTAGGTTTTACTGTAAAGTGTGTTTATTTAGTAGATTAGGGTTTCTTTGTATGTTTGTCCATTAGGACCCCCCCCCCCTTTGTATGACCGGAAGTCAGAGTCTCTATACAGGAAGTAGACTCATTGTAAACAATAACATGTGAATTTTCTATTTTTGGTCTATTCCTTTCATACCCCTCTCATAGCCAAGTAAATGTTTTACAAGCTAATTCTCCCAATTGATATTAATTATATATTTTTATTTTAACTCATTTATTTTTATAATGAAGATATTCAGTAGACATGTTATAATACCTGTAATGAATTGTGTGTTCATGAGATGATGTTTAATTAACACATGTTCTTATTTGTGGCATTATCTTACACTTTCATTTTAATTATACAGAGTATCATTGTTTTATATCTTTTATTATGATTGTAAATGATCACTTTTGCGACGGACATTCACGAATAAACAGCTTTAATTTTAAGACTGTCTCCTGTCCTGTTTTTCAGGTTTAGAAATCTTAGTTATCACCACAGTCCCCAAAGCACGGTAATAGTAGTACCCTTGTAAACGTTCTAGCAAATACATGTAGACTAAAATTGACAATTTAATCTCTTTTGGAAAAATGAAAAATGCTAACATTTATTATTCTTGATTAAAAAACAAAAGAAAACCTATAAAAATCAAATTTAACATCAAATAAACTTACCAATAAAATTGCAGATGTTATGACTATCATTTTGCGCTGTATGTCCCTAAAAGAAGCCTTGTACATAAAGAAGAAGAAGCATTTTCTCAAATATAATTTTCATACATTACCTAGCAATTTAAAAATCTATTAAGAACACTTAAGTCAAAGGAGACAACTTAAATTTAATATTGTTGGTATTTGATTTTTTATTCATTTTTTATATAGACTTAATACATGCAACAATTTCATTTTCCTAAATATTGTATTATAACATAAGTGCATACACCAATATTAATATTCTTATTTTGAAATATCAGTAAATGCATACATGTATTTAACAAGAGTTGGGCTTCACCTTTTACAGTAGTTAATCATCCGTCTACAACTATTTTTTGGGGTCGTTTTCCTTTCCAGCTCGGGATGATCGTCATTTCTCTGCTCTCCATCTTCTATCTCATCTCTATCTCTGAGTGATCTTATATGGAGGAATGTTAATATTATTCCCAAAACCTAAAATGTATAAATATTCATATATCTGATAAAGACATAAATGAAATATGGAGATAACGAACAGTATTCAGTATTCAAGCTCAAAGTCCATTTAAATAATACAAATCAGGAGTAGAGCAAACATGGACCTCCAAAAACATTAGAGGCGAGATCAGGTGCGATGGAGAAGTGATCATCCCCTGTTGACTGGTCACTACCACCGTGTGCCCCTCGTCATTATCGGGTAAACGGAAAAATCCGTAGAAATTTCAGAGTGTAAATATTGGCCTTACAATTAGTACGAAAATAAAACAGATTTTAAAAAATGAATCTGAATCAAGAGAAAAGAGATTTGAAGTTTGAACAAGAGATCTATGGGTCTTGTCTTAGAAGTTACCTGAGTTTACTACAACCTTGAGAAGAAAGCTTTTTGAAGAGGCACCCTTGCTTATTATAACCGTGCATTTAGTTTGTTTGCTAAATTCCCAGAAGCAAAGAATATAATTTTCAAAAAAGTTAATGCATTTCCATTACATAATGAATAAAGCTCCACCCTAACATCAGAGCTCTGACCCAAGGAATTCAAAATATTTGAAAGATTTACCATAGTTATGTATTTAGTATGTTAGCAAAATACCAAGGACAGAGAAGAAGATTTCAAAGAGATAATAATTTAATTGTTGTTGTAACACGGTATTTGATTGGATAAAAAAATTATTTTGTATGGTGTAAATTGCTTTGCCTACGTCACAATGACTTGCGTCAAAAATGTATCGGTCCGCCCGACGTTACATTCAAATTTTGTACAAATTGAACTCGTTTTTAAAGACAATCATCTTTTTTTCTTAAACCAAATGAATGAAAATTAAATTATAAAGAATGAATTTAATAGCTACCCAATTAATATGGTTTAAACTGGGTTGGAACGCGGTTTATAAAGCGTAAACTACCCCAACCCAGTTTATACCGTATAATCTGAGTAGCTATTAAATTCATTCCTTAAATACATTGCCATTATATGAATGGTGCTAAGCGCTTTAAACAGAACCTCTAATCCAGGGACAATATTAGTTATCCAGGTTCAATCATGGGTGTACGGGAATTTACTCCGGTTTTTATTCCATACACCCTGAGGCCGAAGGATGTATGGAATGCAACCCGAGATAAATCCCCGTACACCCTTGATTTGACCTGCATAAAGAATATATTTCCTTTGTACCCAAATAATTTTTTTGTAAACAAGTTCAATCAACTGTGTTCCATGCTATCGATAAGATTTACTACGTCATACAATGCATCGTGACGTCATGAGTTTTTGCTTTTTATCATAGAGAAACTATGCTTTGTGACGTGACTTTTTTTTTACCCCAGAACAAGTCGGGTGTACGGAAATTTACACCCGACTTTGTAACCAATCAAAGCTCGTGTTACATGCATAGGATATAATGAATTTAATTATTTTGAAAGAGGCGCCCTTGCTTTTCATAAGATTGCAACTAGTTTTTCTGCTGAATACCAAGGGACACAGATTTTCAAAGACAAAAATCATTTCATTATAAATTATATAGAGCTAAAGACATAAAGGGAATTATAATTGATGGGGAGGAATATAAACTTTCACAATATGCTGATAATATTTCAATTATATCTGATGGATCACCACAGTCTATGGATGGTATATTAAGATAACTTGACTATTTTGCACTTGTATCTGGTCCGAAAATTAATTTTAAAAAAATTAAATGGTTTGGATTGGCAGTAAAAAAAATTCCAAAGAAGTTTTCACTCGAGATGGAAGTTAGATTGGAATCACTCTACTTTTGATCTTCTTGGTGTAAAATTTTCTATTAATTTAGACGAAATGATTAAACTGAATTACCCCTCAAAATTAAATGAAATAAAGCGTTTGATAAAACAATGGCAGTTAAGAAAAACTTACTCCATTTGGTAGATTAGCAGTGATTAAATCCCTGATTATTCCAAAGATTAACCATTTCATATTGAAATATATGGAGATAACGAACAGTATTCAAGCTCAAAAGTCCATTATACAATACAAAATAGGAGCAGAGCAAACACGGACCTCCAAACATCAGAGGTGGGATCAGGTGCCATGGAGGAGTGAGCATCCCCTGCCGACCGGTCACACCCGCCGTGTGCTCCTTGTCATGATCGGGAAATAACGGAAAAATCCGTCGACAATTCAGTGTGTAAATAATGGCCTAACAATTAGTATGAAAAACGTCAGTCAGCATTTGACTCAATGATAAATTGTATTTGCTGACAAGGTCATTGTATCGACCATAGAACTTACGAAATGATGACTTTAAACGAGACAGCTGATATTCTTGTTTCATCAACTTATTTGTCAATAATTTACCTCGTTTTAGAAATTGTACATACGTAGAGCATGCTCTTGCGTATCGAATCAACTGAGAGATATATACCCCGTATGCAGGTGATGAAGGTATATTGCTGCATAAGTAAGGGAAGTTGACGATTGAAAAGTTAAAGTCATCACGTTTATCATAAAGCTTGGTTGTTAGATTACCATTAACGTCTTTTTCAAGTAAAATATCCAAATATGAAACAGATGTATCAGACTCTGTGGTATCTTTTATCTCAAGTTCACCAGGATATATCGTATCGACATAAGAATGAAAATAGCCATTGTTAATTGACAATACGTCGTCGATATATCTAAATGTCGAGTTGAACGCCACAGCAAGTGTTTTCTTCTTTTCACGTACAAGATTTTGGACAAATTCTGCTTCATATGAATACAAAAAAAGGTCTGCTAATAACGGGGCGCAATTGGTACCCATAGAAATTCCAATAGATTGTTGGAAGACCTGGTCTCCAAAAACCACATAGATATTGTCAATCAGAAACTCAAGCATCTTTTTAATGTCTACTTCAGAGTACTTGTGTGTACAATCAGAATGTTTTTTAACAAAATAATTTTGCAAATGACCAATGACAAGGTAAGTATATTTACGAGTTCCATTTTTATTGAAAAAGCAGCTGTCAATGATATCAAAAAGCCTGGACTTTAATTTATCGTGGGGAATGGTTGTGTATAAAGTTGAAAAGTCGTAAGTTTTTAAGCTGTTGATTTTGGTAAAATCTTGTGATTTCAAATTTTCCAAAAGTTCCTTGGAATTTTTAAGTATCCACATCTGATTTACACCACTTCTCGAATATATTGTTGCACAGTACTTTTGAAGTTTCTCCTTCACCACTGTTAATATCTTAGTGAGGAGTAAAGATAGAGGCTTGGTTGAACATTTAATGGAACCCGCTATGTATCTTTGTTTGTAAGGAATTTTATGAAGTTTCGGAATCCAATATAAATATGCTAATTCGAATTCATTTTGGTTGCTGGGAATATATTGTTAAAAATATTCAAAACTGACATATGATTTTGAAGAATTTCTTCCTTAGAAAGGGAACTATGAGTATAAGTTGGATTACCACTTGTAGAATTAAATCCAAGTTCCTCTAAAATACATTTAATATAATGAGCCTTACAAACAAAGACAATATTGTTACCTGCTTTGTCAGCAGGGACCAGTACGTACTGATCATGTAATCCATCTAATTCTTTTTTCACTTCTGGATTATTGAATACAGAAGGATAGATAGATTGACTATTCCGAACTCTTATAAGGAACTCCTAGATGAATGAGAAAGACCTTTACTACTTTTTATAGGGAAGTAAAATTCATAAGGTTGAGAAAAATGTTATGATTCAAGATTATAGAAATGGGGGTGTGAAAATGATTGAATATGTAGATTTTCTATGTGCATTAAAATCAACATGGATCCGAAGACTGATTTACTCAGATACAAAATGGCTAAAACTTCTTGAATCAGAATAAGGAATGAAAGTTGAATCTCTATGGGTTAGAGGTTTAGAATTTACTGTTAATATGTGTAATAAAATAATTAACAAGTTTTGGAAAGAGGTTTTACTTAATTTGGTAAAATCATTGATTCGGGTCAAAAAATATGCAAAGTCTTCATTAACATAAATGGTTTAATCCAAGAATTAAAATGAACAACTCATTCATATTCTTGAAAAGTCATTTCGATGCAAGCTTTATTTTTGTAATAGATCTGTTTGACTCTGAAGGAAAATTCGTAAGCCTTTAGTACCTCACAAACCTAAATGTAAAAACAAATTTTGTAGAATATGCAGGTTTAGAAGTAGCTGTTTTAAAAATATTGAAAAGTATTGATATTGAAAAAAGAGAAATGGACCTTTTATCCCTAATTCACTTTATATTTTTTATAAAAGTACAAAAGGTTGTAAAGACAGGTACAGTGTACTCATTAAAAGAAAAAGGAAGCAATTAAGGCACTAGAAAAATGCGAAAATAATGGAATATTTTTTGGCGATAAAGACTGGATAAAAATATTTGAACTTCCTTTTAAAGTCACAAAAGAAGCAAAATTTCAGTGGATGCAATTTCAAATTCTGCATAGGATTATTGCAACAAATAAATACCTTTATAAACTCAAACTTATTGATTCACCTGTATGTTCCTTTTGTAAACAAGATGTTGAAACGATTGAACATTTATTTTTCGAGTGTTTCTGCGTTAAAAAATATGGTGTCATATTGAGGAATGGTTTATAGATAAGTTTCATTTTACCATTAATTTTGATAGAAAGGATATATTTTTTGGCAAATTCAACAACAAAAACATGTTTAGACTACACAATATATAAATACTTACTGTTAAGCAATTAACTTTTGCTAGTAGGTTTAAAAATGTGCCTAAACTAAGCATCTCAATGCTAGAAAAAATATTGTGGATAGAATATTAGTTGAAAAAGTTATACTTTTTAAGAAACTGTAAATTTTCAGAATATGAAAAATACTGGAAAACTATTTGTGATATGCTATAATGTATTTATTTTTTCTCAAGTTTATATACAAATGTACAAGTATGTTAAAATACTTAATACTGTTCCCCCACCTCACTTTTTGCACCCTTTCACCCCCTGTTTCCTTTTTTAATTTTATTTCTGTATATAAAGCTTTCACAGTGAAGATTCATATAAATGTACAATATGTCATATATAATTTCAGTTTGATTTTGAAACGCGACATATATTTACTACAAAGAAAATGTATTTAATATGAAGTATCAGGAAGTAGAAATGAAAGTATGTATTGAATGTTATAGTCTGTATATGTGAAAGCACAAATAAAATCTATGAATTGAAAAAAAATATAGAGAGAGCTCCGCCCTTACACCAGAACACCAAACCCAGGAGCCATGAAATTCACAAATTTTACCAAAGTTACCCTTGTTCTTCATAAACATTCACTTAGTTTATCTATTATTAACCAGGAATAGAGGAGAATATTTCAAAGAAATAATGTATATTCACTACATTAATAATAATTCATGATTAATTTATGATTCATAAACAGAATAAAAATTTAACATTTGTTCCTATCATACAAATCCTATTTTTTCTTCATAAAATTGTAAACATTTTTATGATTTACAGTATCTTTTATTAATATTTGAAAATTGGTATTGATATAAAACTTATGATTTAAAATCGATAATCATATTCAAAAATCTTAGATTTATCTGCAAAACCTTTAAAAAATGTGATCTATATCCAAAAAAATTATATTCATACTTAAAACATATTAATTATATGCAAAATCGTGTTATTTATTAGCAGACCAATTTCTGTATTCAAAGCAAGCAAAATTTATTCAAAAACTTATACAAAAAAAGAAAACGTCTATTGCTTTTGCGTGTGGCGATTACTGCAATTACTCTATCGTTAACTTCCCTTATTTATATAGCAATATTTATAACATTATCAACTGCAAATATGTAGTTTACGTCTCCAGTAGATTCGAAACGCAAAAGCATGTTCTACATTCGAACAACAAGCTATTGACAAATTATTTGATAATACAAAGATATCAACACTCTCCTTCAATATCAATATTTCGCAGTTTCTATGGTTGATACAATGGCCATATCAGCAAATATATTCTATCATTAAGTCGATTGTTGTCTGACGTTTTTCATACAAATTGTTACGCAATTAATTTCAAGCTGAACTGTTACAGATTTTTCTTTCGCTTTCCCGAAAACGGCGAGTGTGACCGGTCGACAGAAAATGCTTATTCATCCATGGCACGTACCTTCTCAACCCCTAATATTTTTAAAGGTCCGTGATTGCTCTACTGCCAATTTGTACTGTTTCAATGGACTCTTGAGTTTTATAACAGTTCGGTATCTCTATATTTGATATGGTAATCTTTTGATTTTTATTAGGAAATTTATATGACTATAAACATTACAAAATAGCTTTAAAAGTATCATATTCAAATCCGATGTCTGAACCTTGCTGAAGAATTTATTAATGTACAACCAAGGGTACAAGGATAAGGAAAATATATTAATACTTACCCCAAACAGAAGAGACAGAGATATTCCTACGAAATACCCGGTGGTGTAAGTCTTAAATCTGGATGACACTGCTTCCAAACAGGGCTTTAAATGTAAAAAAAAAAAAAAAACACAGAATATTATTAACATAATAAAATTTTTGATGTGCTAGTAACTCTAAAGTGAGATATAAAAGGTCTGCTTACTGTTAAAAAAACAAAACAAAACAAAAGACCACCCGATTTAATGTATGTTTTACAGTTTTACTGAGTTCCGAAATCTACGTTCGAAATTTTAGGTTTACAAAAGATGCAATGTTTTCCATTTTATAGCATCTTTTAAACAAGAAAATACAGTGATTGACCCTTATAATACTAACTGTGTTTGGCGTACTGCACACTGAAGTGCTATAGAGAGTGTTTTCTGATACATTGTATAAACTGTGCTGACAGCACGTTAGAGGTAGCTGAGAACAATGATAAATTCCAGACGTCAAAGTACATATATCGCTCGAGGCAGTTACACCGCAACACTCCAGCTGAGGAAAAACAATGGAAAAATCCAATAATTTTGTACAACGTTGAAGTAACGATGTGTATCAATTTTCTTTCTTATAAGAAGCAGATGACAATAATCTATTAAACAATATTCTCAAACAATATCAATATATTAAAAATAAATGCTAACTGCATAATGTAATGAGTGTACTTACTTCTCCAAACAGAGTTAACCATGCCCGTTGAAGGCTAGAGAAATTTCTCAATAAATTTGCCATTTTGAATCTCAGATCACTTGTGACCTGTGTTATACAGATAAAGTTATTAATTGGAAATTGGATGGATTAATACACGTATGCTTTTTTGCTACAGTTTATGAATATATACTTTTTGGTCAGCTTAAGAACGCAATTTAATATGCTGAATGTAAGAAAAACTATTTGTCTGTAGAAACAATTCAAGTAATTAACTACTCCAGGCTTATTTGATGTAAGTGCTGGGATCTCTAAAGACATTTCAATAAATATGCCTGGTTCGTGATGTATTGCTTCTTTTTCGAATATGAACAATTAATAGTTTTTCTATTCCTACTTATCATTTTGTTTCAAAGATTTGTTGTTTACTTTAAAAAAGAAAACAAATTTTACATTAACCACGTTGTCTTTTTAAAAAACTAAATGTAAACTTAAAACAGCTTACCTGAACAGCAAGTTTGATGATTAACCCCAGCCAGATAACTTCTGTGATGAATAACAGAACTTTGGTTACTGCAATCTTTTAAAAAAAAAGAGTGTTTATAAAATAAATTGCTTTATATGCAAGTCTTTACTATAATGAAAATTTATAAGAAAATATCAATGTCTCTCTTTTTGTCAATTTATCTTTAGATTTACCTATTTAAGTTTAACACAGTCCTGTGGTTATCAGGTGGCCACGGTAACGATATTGCCTACCCAAATGATTAATGTTATTATGTATACAATGTGTTTTTGTTGCACATTGATGTCTTAAAAATGTCTATATTATAATCATTTTCTCAGCGCAATGTGACTTGGGCTTTGAAATTCTAAGTACATATAAGAATATGACAATAAATTAGATTAAAGTAGATTATGTTTATTGTCGTAAAATAGATACAAAACAGGCCTTCTTTTATTCATTTCTTTTCCAAATCGCTACAATTTTTTAAAATTCTTACACAGAACTAACAGGTTTGTAGTAATCTCTTTTTCTTTCAACATTGTAATCATTCTAAATTGAACAGGAAGTCTGTGCAAGTGTCCAAATCAATGATGATAGAATGGACATTGATGTTTATCTATCTTACCAAGTTTTAAATTTTATTTTTCACTTTAACTAAAACTTTTTGGGAAAGTGCATTTGTTAGTCATGTCTGCATATATTTTATTTTATCTGTTCTATATTTCGACCTCTGAATATTTCACCTCCCTCTATGTGACTTTGTGACGTCTGATTACATTACATGCATGAATTCGTAGTTAGCCTGATCATTGAATCGATTACTTTCTTATTTTTGTTCATAATTTTTCTTGCCTTTTTTGACATATCGTATAATGATAGAATGGTAAACATCTTGACTCTTCATTTAGCTTCATATAACATGAGTAATTTAGATTGTTTTTAAGAAAAAATAAGAAGAAGTTAGTCTTGACTTTGACTAGATGTGACCATACTTGCTTCAGTGCTACGAAATATTCAAAATGGAACTAAGGAATTCAATGATTTTCACATTGCTTTGAAAAGAATTCAGAATATCAAGCATTTTTTAAACATGTAATATATAAAACTGAATAAACACAAAGTAGATTGTTTTTTTTTTAAATAAATGTTATCCTTACTATACTTTTAAGGTTCTTAAATCCTGAAAAAAAATCCCAGGTTGTTTAATTTAAAAGCATCATGTTGTAGTCTTAACTTTATACGGGCCTTATTTACAACCGAGTATGTGGGAGAAGGCCAAATGCTGCTAAAAAGCAAAAAGAAAAAAATAGACACAGAAATTGATATCTTACGTACATCAAATGTAATACATGTATTATAATTATTTTGTAAAAGAATCAACAGATTCAAAGATAACAAAACCAGACCCGTTTTAGCATTGTTACCACTTTGCTCTTTGTCCTGTTATGGAGAATGACGTCGGATATAAACGCTAAAGAATTCACAACAAATTCAACAGATCCTAAAACAATCATCAGTACTCCGAATCCTTCAATAATGTCCCGGAAGTTCAATCCAAGTATGTAGATATGCCCAAAGATTCCGGAGACAAAGGTCCCAGACAGCTTAGAATCAGTGAGGAGCACCGTTCCAAACACTATCAGACACACTGCTGGTACCTTTGTGTGACATTAATGAAGTTATCATAAGTTTTTCTGAATTTGATTTGAGTTTAATTACATGATAAAAAGCTCAGTATTGAATGATTGGGAATGATGTTCAACAAAGAAGCCAAATACATACACATGACAACAGCCTCCAAATGTTTGCAAGAAACCCTAGTCGAGACCTAGAAAAGTAAGAAATATGAAATTTTGTCATTCTCAACACTTTCAAGCAAATACTTTTACATAATATGATAATGAATGTACTTATGTACACTGAATGTGACAGTATTTCTAAATAACATGTACACTGCTTATTCATTATCAATATGTATAACTAAGAAATAAGGTATCATTTTTAAACTTCTATCGGAATGTAAATACGAATTAGTCTTGTGATCAATCCTTCAGGCTTTTGGGGAGATTTAATCACATACCAACCCATATTTACACCCCGCTAAATGTTAAAAAATGATATCTTATATTTAAATTTGTGACTGGTTTATAACAAATATTTGAGTACTATATATTTTTAACCCATGAAATGTTTTCCCCATTTTGTCAATGACTTCCAGTATGCAACATCAAACACTGAAACATGTACATGCAGCTAGGGCATTTCAGTTGTTGTAGGTTATTGTGTCAATGACTTTAATTTCTTATTACCTAAATTTCCTGTCGAACATTGCAGGTTTATTGAGATAATTTTCTAAAATAGTGGAAGAATTTGTTTTTCACTTAATCTCAAGGTCGACCACTTATTCTCTGACAATACATTTATTTCATTTCAATATAGTAATCAGTTTTCAATGCCAAAAAGGACTGGTGCATTTGCATATATTTCTAGACTGACAAACATTTTCATAAGAGTGAATAAATAAATTTATTCTTTCTCAGACAGAGGAAAGCCACGTTATTTATTCCTTGTTTTTGTATATCGCAGAGTATCAAACTCCTACCTGATGCAGCTATACATTGTATATTTAAGCAATGAATCATTATTATTTGAAAAATATAGTCTCATAACTGCAACGGTGTGTGCAAACAAATTGAGTAACGCGCGCAAGCGAAACAACCACGTCAACGAGAGCACTCATTCCAGCTTCACTCTTCAACACAGGTGACAGCCAACACTGAAGTGCTGCTAAAAACTGCTGTGACACCAATTTGATATGGAAATCAAGAAATCACCTGTAATATACTGCTTGATGAAAGGGCTCAAAATTCATTTATTACTAAGGAGCTAGCACAGAAACTTGATATTATGTCAAATGGATCCATTACCCTAAGAATTTCAGCATTTGGAGACAAGAATAGTAAAATTCGTCATCTTGAGAAAGCAACTGTACAATTAGAAACACAAACTGGAGAAAAAATTCCAGTGGAGGTCATTATCATTCCAAAGATTGAAGCTCCAATCTCCAACAGATCACTTGTCAATATCAAGGAACTCCCATACCTTAAGGGATTAAAATTGGCACACCCAGTAAGCACAGAGGAACGAGTCCATATTTCAATGCTTATTGGTGCAGACTATTATTGGAACATACCAGTAGTAGGAGACAAAATGATCAGAGGGAATGGACCCACCGCAGTTGAAATAAAATGCTGGATATCTAATATCTGGACCTATCAACTCATCAGGAAAACAACATCCAGGAATGTTCCATATTTTGGCTGAACATAAAATGGAAGAGATTGAACTTCAAAAATTCTGGAAAATAGAATACATGGGAATTGATGATCAGAATGAAGAGTAGAAAGAAGGAAAAGCTTCTGACCTATGCTACTACATCAATAGATCAAGAGGATGGTCATTATATTGCTAAATTTCCCTGGAAGGGAGAAAACTCTCCTTGCTTACCTACAAATTATGAGATTGTGAAAAAAAAAACAGAAAATGTTATTTAGAGATTAGCAAGGGATCCAAAACTGTTAAAATTGTATAGTGAGATAATCCAGGATCAAGAAAAAAAGATTTATTGAGAAAGTTGAAGATCCAGAAAATTCATAATATACAGTCCATTACATCCCTCACCACCCCGTGAGAAAAGACAGTTCTACAACTCCGATTAGAATTGTGTATGATTGTAGCTGCAAGGACAAAACTGGACATGTTAGTCTAAATGATTGCATTGAGCCTTATTCCCCGCTGATGAATGACATCACATCAATATTGACCATATTCAGATTAAACAAGTTTGCAGTTACAGCAGATATTGAAAAGGCCTTCCTTCAAATTGAACTTAACCAGAAAGATCGTGAGGCAACCGGCATGGTTACTTGAACCCAAGAAATGGCCTGTATGGGATGGACCAACAAACGCAATACTATATTCCACAAGCGCTGAAGAAGAGAGTAATATGAATCGTCAAGCAGAGGATCAAGTTACAGCGGATAACATGACTGGAGGTATACATTCAGTACTGAAACTTGAGAATAAAAGTTCACTCATGATGTTGCATACATCAGAAGATTAATTCACAACTGCAGACATTATAGTGAAAGGAGAGCAGGATTTCTCAGTAAACAAGAATTAGGTGAAGCTATGAGACTGCTCATGATGTACAGACAACAGAGTTTACAAAGGAAATAGAATATCTGAAACATCCATCTGGAAGGAAACCAACATTGGTTCAGCATCTGAAACTGTTCCTTGATAGAGATGGATTTTTAAGGTGTGGAGGAAGAATACACAATGCACCACTGATGGAGAAAAACAAAATTTCCATACCTTCTTCCTACAGATCACCGATTGACATATCTTATTGTTGTTGATATAAACAAAAGGCATGCCCATGTTAGTTTAAATTCAACAATTACCTTACTTCATGAACAATACCAAGGATTCGACATCGTGTGAAAGGGATTCTTAGAGCATGTGTCAACTGTAGAAAAGTCACTGAAAAATAATATCAAGCTCCAGAACCCCCTCCATAACCAAAGGGCCGTTTACAGATGAAACCCCCATTTACCGTGACAGGCATTGATTTTATGTTAAGGATACATTGGGAGAAGATTCTAAAGCATACATATGCCTCTTTACCTGTGCCTCATCTCGAGCTTTACACCTAAAGTTAGTACAAAACCTGACACAGAGTTCATCTCTTCTTGCAATCAGAAGATTTATTAGTAGGACATCAATGCCTAGTATCATGATCTCAGATAATGCAACAATCTTTCAATCTGCATCAATGGAAATCACCAGAGCATCACATGCAGAAAATGTACACCAAAACTTGCTGAATATGGAGTACAATGGAAATTCCATCCCTAGTCGAGATCCATGGTATGGTGGATGGTGGAGGAGATCAATATGATTGACAAAGACTTCCTTACTGAAAGTTCTTGACGTTCAAAGATAAATATGGAGACTCTTCACCCCTTAGTTACGGAGATAGAAGCAATTTTGAATGACAGACCGCTGACTGACATATCAACAGATCCAGATGATTTACAGCCGCTTACACCATCTCAGTTGTTATATGGAAGAAGATTAACATCTCTACCTTATTTTAATGGAGTGGATGCCAACGACAACTCTCTAGTGAATTACGATAAAGCAAATAAATTCACGAAACGACAAATTCAGTTTCTACAAAGCTTTTGGAACAGATGGAAGTCAGAATACCTTACTTCTCTGAAACAATATCACCGAAGGACAGGAACTACATACAACAAAATCAGAATAGGAATTTTTGTCTAAGTCCATGATGACTTCACAAGACTCATCAATTGGAAACTTGCTGTAGTGGTGGATCTCCTAACTGGCAGAGATGGACTCACAAAACCAGCACTCTTACGTCTAAGTAACGGAACCATATTAAACCGTCCCATTACAAAATCGTATCCTCTTGAACTAAGCAAATCAGATTCCACAGAGAGGAGAAGCCAAAGACTTTCCAGTTAATCTTTTTTTAAAAAAAAACACAAAGCAAAGTATGAATTTTCTATCATTGTAAATTTTGATTATTGTAGATTTTGCGTCCCGGAATATGTTGATGAAAATCTTCCTATATGTAACGTTAAAGTGTATGTGACATTAAGTTACTAGTATACTCTTATCATGGCATCTTTATAAATATGACGTTATGGTAACGTTACAATGCAATGCTATGTTTGAATAGGCAGTCTAGATAAACAAGTCAAAGTGTTTAGATGTGTTTTCACTCTATCTGACTCAAAGTAACTAATCACTTTACAATCTCGACATAATATAAATGTGAAAAGATTATCATTCCTTATAATGTAACATGCCTTACTTTTTCCATGCCTCTTGGAGCATCGTGATGCAGGTTCGTGCCAAAGCAAAGGGATATCTCTTATGTGACATTTGGCTGTATATCGAGTCACATAACCCTAGTTGTACAATCTGAAATAAATTGGTGAACCTTATTTACCATCACTTTTATTAGCTACACGTTATTTACAATCACTTTTTATGCTTATCTCAAAATAAGTTATAAATACACTATAATGCTTGAATTATGTCTTGCAATTTATTCCTCAAGTTGTTATACTGTAAAGATTTATCTGCACTGGACCTAAAGATAAAAGTTACCTCAGTGAGTAGGCAAATTCCTGCAAGGCAAGCATATGTTGTCAAAAAAGGCCTCATAGCTGCACCAAATTTTCCCCAACAATTTTCCCACTTGAATAAAGAATAAAAAGAAACATTATCAAATCTGCATTAATACGTGGGTTTATAAAATATAGTTTCTTGAAGAGTATTAGTTCTGGTGAATGAAATTTCCCAAATTAAGGAATGGATTTTAAAGTTTTACGAGCATATCCACGGTGTGAGTAGTTTAAGCATTAAAAGCCGCTTGACGAGATTATCTGGACAATTTTCTAACATAATCTCTAACATATACTTTCTACATGTGCCTCTAAAAATTTGAAAATAAAAAAGTAATTCTAGTGTAACATATGGATAAAATATTTGACAGACGGTAATTGTGGCTTTATTTTATTTAAGATGGAAGTTTATGCGTTTGACTTTTATAGCTAAAATTTTATTTTTATTATATAAATAATTTATATCTCTACACTTACGGGGTTGTAACCAATACATTCGTAGCTGTATGTGCTGTGCTGACTGGTTACACCACAACACCCCAACTGAAAAAAAAGCATTCTTTTACTGTTGGAAATGATAATGCGTACATGTACATGTGACTTTTTCATGAATCGGAATATGCTTTTTCGATGGAAAGACTTGCATATCTTTTAGACCCATATTCTCCCCCCCCCCCCCCAAAAAAAAAGAGAGTAAATAAAACATTTCTTTAAAAAGTTTAAAATACATATATCCAGGGTATTTTTTTAAATTCTTATAAGAGATCTGAAGTTGTCTCTTTAAGCAGTCATTAACTACTTTTTTAACCAATTATGCAGACGTTACAGAAAATGTGGATTGACAATATCCTTAATGAACCTACTGTAGAAAACATGTCAAACCAATCGTCTTTGATGCCTTTAACATCGGTATAAGGCCATCTACGATAAACCGCAGCCATCTGTATGTAAATACCTTGAAAGTCCAAAGCGAGCGATCCTCCAAACTTGAAGATAAAAGAATGTAACTGACTTAAATCTAATCACATTAAGTACATCTCTCTCTCTTTCTTTTTTTCTCTCTCTCTCATTAATATTATACTCACTCCGTCACGAAGAACAACAAACAGCGAGAGGAAAATTACATCAGTCAAGATGAAAAACATTAGCGACAGCATGTACTGAAAATATAATCATATTCAAAGAATTAATACGTATAATGTAAAAGGTGAAGAAAACGAACAGTGATAAATCTCATAAACCCAGTAAACAAAACAAATCAGGAATAGGGCAAAACCAGGGACCCCTGAAAACACCAGAGGTGGAATCAGGTGCCAAGGAGGTGTAGGCATCCCCTTTCAACAGCCACAGTGAGCCTTGTGTATTGATCAAGTATACAGAGGAGTCGAATTGAGCATAAAAGCAATAACCTAACAAATAACCTAACAAATGGTACGAAACATGTCAGACAAAATGAAACCTAACGAAAGATGGTGTTTACAAACAAGTCATTATAACGACCACGGGTAGAATTTGCGAAAGGTTGACTTAAAAGGGGGTTGTTGAAAGCCTTGCAACAATAACTTATTTATCATAGCTTGTCTAGGTTTAAAATTCACATGTTCTTGCCTAGCGAATCACTTGGGAGACTTAAATTTACACCATCTGCAGGTGATGTTGTAATTTCTCTACATAAAAATCGAGAATCTGAAGTCATCCTGTTTGTCATACAGTTCAGTTTTTAGTCGGCCGCCATCGTAAAACATTCAAATGGGAAACAGAAGAGGTAGACTTGGTGGTGTCTCTTATTTCGAGTTCACTGGATATATCGAGTCAATATTTTTGTTTGTTTCCTTGCTTAAAGTCCCTTTCGAGAATAGTTCACTCATATTGAAACGCCCCCACTTGTTGGTTGAGGGCTGCAAATTTTAGACCTATACTTGGCACTCAGAGCCATTGAGCAGTGGGAGATCGTTTTCGTGTCACTACCTACTGCGACACAAGACCTCGGTTTATACAGTCTCATCCGAAGGACCGGTCTCTACGTCCCACAGTGGGATTCGAACCCGCGACCTGAGGATCAACTTCTTACTTGTGAAATATGAACGCCCAAGCCGAGGCATTCAAAAGTTATGGCCAAGATTAAGAATTTTAAAATTCTATGGTCAAAGTCAAAAATATTTATACCAACGGGGGCAAGTCTCACTATATAGTTAGTCTACCGGGGGAAGTCTAACTATACAACACCGGCATGTGGTAGCATCTCAACATGAGTACTTATTACTGCTTATAATTTTGAGTTCGGGGGGGGGGGGTCAAGACTGTAGAGGTTCACTTATACGTTGCAGATCCAATGTTTACCATGGGATGATACTAAATGTATTTATGAATGGAACATTGAACAATTGGGGGGGGGGGGGGGGGTAGCTGTAGTTAATTGTTTTTAGTCACAGCAATATTTATTATGCATACTTTGCATGGACATAATTTTTATTTCAAAGAGAGATGATTTTTATTAATAGAAAAATATGAAATTATCATAAGATTTGCATAGATATTTCATTTCTTATGAATTAGAATGTAGAGACCTTTACGCTTCCGTACGCGCAGCTGTTTTTATTCCGAACTTGAATTTATAGCATTCAAAACTATAATCATCTTAATTTAATTTTAAGTGTAAAAATTGGATTTTCGCTCCATACGTTACGTTACATACATTGTTCTAAAAACCATGAAAAGTATACAGATGGCTTAAAACAGGATTTAACTAGCACATACATGTAAGTTACGTATAATGTATTTATTGCCTTAGTTTTCGATAAGAAATAAAACAAGAGGCCCATGGGCCACATCGCTCACCTGAGTAACTTTGGCCATGCTGTTCATTACCAGACTCCCCCCTTGTAATACCTATTGTGGCCCCACCCTCCCCCCAGGGGCCATGATTTGAACAATTTAGAATCTACACTACCCCAGGATGCTTCCACATAAGTTTCAGCTTTTCTGGTCCAGTGGTTCTTGAGAAGATTTTTAAAGATTTTTCCTATATATTTCAATGTAAAACTTGGGATTCCCCCTATTGTGGCCCAGCCCTATCCCCTGGGTCATGATTTGAACAATTTAGAGTGTACACTACTTGAGGATGCTTCCACATAAGTTTCATTTTTTCTGGCCCAGTGGTTCTTGAGAAGAAGATTTTTAAAGATTTTTCCTATATATTTCAATGTAAAACTTGTATTTCCTATTGTGGCCCCGCCCTACCCCCGGGGGTCATGATTTGAACAATTTAGAATCTACACTACCCCAGGATGCTTCCACATAAGTTTCATTTTTTCTGGCCCAGTGGTTCTTGAGAAGAAGATTTTTAAAGATTTTTCCTATATATATTTCAATGTAAAACTTGGATTCCCTATTGTGGCCCTGCCCTACCCCCGGGGGTCATGATTTAAAGAATTTAGAATCTACACTACCCCAGGATGCTTCCACATAAGTTTCAGCTTTTCTGGCCCAGTGGTTCTTGAGAAAAAGTTTTTAAAAATTTTTCCTATATATTTCAATGTAAAACTTGTATTTCCTATTGTGGCCCCGCCCTACCCCCGGGGGTCATGATTTGAACAATTTAGAATCTACACTACCCCAGGATGCTTTCACATAAGTTTCAGCTTTTCTGGCCCTGTGGTTCTTGAGAAGAAGATTTTTAAAGATTTTTCCTATATATTTCAATGTAAAACTTGTATTTCCTATTGTGGCCCCGCCCTACCCCCGGGGGTCATGATTTAAACAATTTAGAATCTACACTACCCCAGGATGCTTCCACGTAAGTTTCAGCTTTTCTGGCCCAGTCGTTCTTGAGAAGAAGATTTTTAAAGATTTTTCCTATATATTTCAATGTAAAACTTGTATTTCCTATTGTGGCCCCGCCCTACCCCCGGGGGTCATGATTTGAACAATTTAGAATCTACACTACCCCAGGATGCTTCCACATAAGTTTCAGCTTTTCTGGCCCAGTGGTTCTTGAGAAGAAGATTTTTAAAGATTTTTCCTATATATTTCAATGTAAAACTTGGATTCCCTATTGTGGCCCCGCCCTACCCCCGGGGGTCATGAGTTGAACAATTTAGAATCTACACTACCCCAGGATGCTTCTACATTAGTTTCAGCTTTTTTGGCCCAGTGGTTCTTGAGAAGAAGATTTTAAAAGATTTTTCCTATATATTTCAATGTAAAACTTTGATTCCCTATTGTGGCCCAGCCCTACCCCCGGGGGTCATGATTTTTACAATTTAGAATGTACACTATCCCAGGATGCTTCCACATAAGTTTCAGCTTTTCTGGCCCAGTGGTTCTTGAGAAGAAGATTTTTAAAGATTTTTCCTATATATTTCAATGTAAAACTTGTATTTCCTATTGTGGCCCCGCCCTACCCCCGGGGGTCATGATTTGTACAATTTAGAATCTACACTTCCCCAGGATGCTTCCATATAAGTTTCAGCTTTACTGGCCCTGTGGTTCTTGAGAAGAAGATTTTTTAATGACCCCACCCTATTTTTGTCTTCTCTTGATTATCTCCCCTTGTGAGGGGACTTGGCCCTTCATTTGAACAATTTAAATTCCCCTTTACCCAAGGATGCTTTGTACCAAGTTTGGTCAAAATTGGCCCAGTGGTTCTTGAGAAGAAGTCAAAAATGTGAAAAGTTTACAGACGGACGGACAGACAGACAGACAGACGGACAGACGGACGGACGGACGACGGACAAAATGTGATCAGAAAAGCTCACTTGAGCCTTCGGCTCAGGTGAGCTAAAAAGAACAAATGTTTTGTGGATGTACGATAATGTAAATTTAACCGTATTAATTAAAGGAAAACAAAAAGAACACATGAATTAAACTCAATTTTGAACTCTTACTCATTATTGTACAACCATAGTAAAAATAATGTATCTAAGTATGGAAAGCAATTGCAAAATTCAAGGGCTGTTTTATTCTATTAAAGCAATATGAGCTGCAACTTTGAGGCACAAAAAAACAAAGCTTAAACGCAATGCTGGCTTATCAAAGTTAACCACAGAAGAAACAAGAAAACGCTTCCCCAAGTAAAATTTATAGGAAATATTTAAAACATAGGAGCCATAATTCCCCTAAAATTTGGTAAACAGCCCGAAACCTAAATTCGATTTTACAAGTTTCCTTAAATTAATAGTTTAACATACCAAAACAATAAAGATTGGCTTCCTGCAAAATATCCCCATTAATCCGATACATCCACAGATGACGTAAACAGGGAAAAGACAAACACCAGTTAGTACCAGGGCGTTCAATGTGACCCCCAGTCGGAGGTTACCTATCCAAAGTCTGTTCAGGACCTCAATCCAGCTTTCCTTAATCAGGCCGGTGTGGATCTTCCAGACAAGTCCCATCACAAAGTAACCAACCGATATACACTTCAAAAAAATTGACAGTACATTTTTAAAAAGGAAGCACATTATTTTCAGTAATGTTTATTATGCATGATTGAACGTATCATTAAGACTGCCTTACCATTGTATTTCGTGTTCCGATGTTGTTTTTGCTTTTTTTCTTTTTTTTTTTCTTTTTTTTTTTTAGATTTAATTGTAAGGATTTCTTAAGATCTCTTTTTTTAGGAATATTGTTACAAATGAAAAAAAGTGCAACAACATAAGATAATTGAAATAGAATAATCATCAAAACCAAATGATATACGTTATATTATAACATGTTTTGCTCAAATATGACATATATATCGATTTACCCTACAGAAATTTAGTAAATTGCGGATGCATGATTTTCATGATCCTATTGAAAATTACACGTGCGATAATAGAACTGGGTACCAAAAACATGATTACAAAAATATGCTAGCCGAGGGGTCATTTATATAACATTTCATACAAAACTTAAGACTCATGCACGTAGTATCGTTTTTGAAAGTAGAAGGCCATTCAGAAAAAAAAGACAGTTACCTGAAAAAACTTGGGTGGGCTAAGGAGTGTTGGGTTCCAACTTCCTTTCACGACAAAAATGTGGTGGGGGCAACTAGCTCTTCAATGAACATTTTAATAGTAAAAGGTTATATATATAACCCTGATACTACGTGCCTGACTGACTTAATTTGCTTCAACTCACTCTCACAAAAATAATTCCCAGGACAACAAGGTTCGCTGATATGGAGTAAATATTCTTCCTGTGGGATCGTGATGAGTTTTTCATCACCTCCAAAAATTGTTCCCTGAATATTGAAAAAATATACATTTGATGAAGATTTTATAAAGTCAATAACAGATTACTAGTACGACACTTTTCTCCCAAAACAAATATAGTACATTTTATTTTTTAAAAAAAAGAAAACGTGTCTGTGACTTAGTTGTGATGTGCACACACTGATCGAACTCGAGCATTTCTAATGGTAAAATGCCTAAGCGGGGGCATACACAAAGAGTGCATGTGTAGGGGAAAAGCATTATCTCAGTTACATATCATTTATACAACCTTTATAATTTCTAATTTTGAAGTCTTTTATAATTTGACTTTGAAAGGTCATTAGCTCAGGATAATGAAGATTCAGTCATTTCCTTTATTTTAAGTAAATTAATTAACAAACTTACATAAATTTTACACTTCTTATCCTTTGACCCGTCTAAATGAATGTAGGTCAAAAGTGCAATAGTCCCAATGTCATGCTCAGAATGAAAGTTACATGAACAATAAAATTTATTATGAAAATAAATATGATCATAGCATTTTGCAGGAGATTGAATTTACTGAATCTACTCCCACCTAGTTATTTCAAATTTAGAACTTGGTTATCATTAAGCAAGAAGCAAATTGTACATTGTACATACTAGTAATCAAAGGTTTTCAAATTTTTGTTTAGAAGACTGAATATCAATAGATACATGTACCAAGATGAGATATACCAGTGATGTAGAGTAGGATTTCCCCCATAGCTAGCTTTTCCCCCGGAGTTTTTTACTCTAGAGTAGGATTCCCCCTACCCACCCCGAGGGGAAATCTCACAACAGAGTCAAATTCCCCCCTCTTTCTTTCTCAGAGTAGGATTTCCCCTTTTTTAGCAATGCTTAAATCATATAGACAATATTTTGGCTAAAGTTTTTATGAAAGTCAACTGATTTTTAATGGAATATGAGTGTTTTCTACTCAAGAATTGTCCAGTTTAGTATGAAATCTTAAAACATAGAATCTCAGTCCAAAATTTTAACTCCTAGAAAATTGTAATATTTATCACCCCAAGAAATCGTAAGACTCAATGTCTCAACACCTTCTCTCAGTGGTACCTGTTATTCGCGGATTTAAAAAAAAAAAGAAGATGTATATCAGGCCACCTTTCGTGATTTGAAAATTTGCTTGGTCTATAAAAGCCTAGTATTTTATTTATGGATCGATCCTTTTTACAAAGAGTGTGTGAGAAAATGCTAAAATTTATGTTATTGTAAGGTTCCAGATACTAATTTGTGAGTATTTGAATCAAGTAGTTTTTCAAAGGAAAAAAAAAAACAAAACAAAACAAAACAAACAAAAGAAACACTGCTTTTGCAAGCCAAAGCATAAATATATTCCTTTGACCCCAGAGGTGGTATGTTGGATTTGAAAGCAAAATAAATGTAGTTAATATCCTTTAAAGTTTTGCAATTTTTCAAACATTTAGAAATAAATGACCCATTTTAGTTCCAAGGCAACTGCAGTTGTTTTAATCATGTAAACACCATAATCTTGGAGACTCTTACACATCAATAGTATGTACATGAAATAAAATTGGAGAAAAAATCCATATAAGATTAAATTTTTTTGTTTCTAGGATATGCATTTAAAAAGTTGTCTAACCGATAACATCGTACCAATTTATTTTCAGAAACCAGTTTGACCAGATTTAAAAAATTATTCAGGAAGTACATACCATAAAGGTTTTCCTTGCATGGTGACTTTCTGATTTATGAGACTGAAAATAGAAATGCCAGTTAATTTTATTTAGTAAATAAAATATCAAAAAATGTCAATCTAAGTGTAAAAGGAATAATTTATTCCGTTGCTATAGTCCTTTTTGAAGATTTCCAGCCGTACATACTTTCCAGAGCCTTTCTCTTTTCACATATGTTGAATTTTTGCCATTTTTTCAATTTAAAAAAAAAAAGAACACTGGGATAAAATTTAAAATTCGGGGAAAATTTAGCATCCCATATAGTACAACTGAAGACGATTTTAGATTATCTTTCATACCAAAGGGTCATTTCTAATTGGTTGAGTGAAAGGAATGTGTATGTTATATTATGTTCACTGAATGACCTGAATACACAAAGACAGAAATCATTTCAAAACGTAACACGTGGATCTAAATGAATGCGTTCTATTCAGACGTTTTCCATGCGGTTTTCTATGCATCAAGAAAGTCTTTACAAACCTTATCTTTAAAGAACCATATAGCATGCACTAGTAGTTTTGTGATCAATGAGGGCCCTAGCTTAAAAATCAATCGGACTTTACCTTTATTTACCAGACATACATGCATTTACTGTCTACTTTTGAAAATTGATTTTAAACCAGAAAAAAATCGAATTACATGTATATTATTTTAAAAATTGACATGAAAAAAGACGTTATTAAATCAACATTAATTAATAATATTTTCGATGAAACGCTATCTAATCATCCAAAATTGGAAAGGGTATTTCTAGAACTTTTATAAATATCAACAAATCGGTATTTTCAGTGTCAAAGTGTAGCTGTATATATACTCTCCGTGTCTTTGCCCACTTCTGGACAAAAGAATTACAACAACGTTCTTTTTTTTACATTCTAGGTAAAAGGTTGAAATTGTCTTTCATGTAATAAACATAATCTGCTACTCAACTTCAGTTTGTTTTATTCTGAGATGGGGACTTATGATGTGGGTTTGGTACATGTATGATATAATATGGTGTTAATTTTTCAATTTTGTATTGATTATTTTCATGCTGAGGATAGAATTTCATGTAGTTAGGAAATAATTGTCACTAGTTTAATTCAATTGCAGAGAGAAAGATTCATGCAGAAATGTTATACTCTTTTGCCTTGCGGGCAAGTCATCGGTTGGTGACTTAGGCACTTCTCAATTACCAAAGCAGCACTAGGCAAATAAAATATTTTGGGTTCTTTTTATTTTTCTTGATTATATATACAAATAAATAAAGTAAAAATTATTATCCAAATGTAAAGTATTCTCATACGAACCTTTGCTCTCCAACGATTCAGGGTTCCTTCTTATCATAAAGCTACACAACAACCCAATACGACCATTGCATTGCTAGGTATTCTCTTTAAATATCCTGGTATTCAATTCGTATTCGTGGGGCAGACCAAAAAAAATTTGGTGCAAAATTGACAGGAGCAAAACAAATGAAATGTTGATTTTTTTTTATCGTTGAAAAGAGAGCCGCAAATACGATGAAAATAAAATAGTTTAAATAACAGTCAAACGTGGCTCGGTGTGCATAAATACAATGGGGGGTTTAAAGTAAACCAAACAACTTAAAAATAAATCCTTGAAATGAATTAAACCTTTAAATCAGATTGTAATGATCAGAACCTACACAACCAGGAAGTTTTGAAACTAGTGATCTTTTTTTAAAGAGAGTTCACGTAAACACAGTTCCAGTGAATTTTCTTTCAAATAAAATTTAACATCCTATGTGTATGTGTGTGTGTGTTGGGGGAAATGTTTATAATGAAGATTTGATGTGTATAATTGTATGTGTAATTATATGCATGTTAAATCAGGTTGAACCAGTACCCAGTACCCCTGTCTTTGTTAAACAATTATAAAACTTTTTTGTATTTTTTTTTAATTATGAGAGAATGAATAAAGTAACATTCCATTGAAGTATCGATGTCTGTTACTTTAATTTTACTTGGTTTTTTAATTAATAACTACAAAATCAATTGCATAAATTATTCACATACATCTGTATTCAATAAAATTCAACTATTGCAAAATTTTATTTCATACCTATTTTATTTTGTTTTTCTTTATGAATTCATTTTATCATTCTTAAAATTCGAATGCGGGTAAATACTTCTTTGAACTATGCAACGCTAGCGGTTCTGCTAAAATTGTTTTCATGGAATAAATAATTCACTCAACTCCTTTTTTAAATGTACCATTCGTAAAGAATGCATAAGATTATAAACATTAAACAATTAAATTTATTAAGGAGGGATTCTTGTCTGGTTTCTGACTAGATGAAATATTCAAAGTATATTTGCTTATATGTTTGATATATTTAGATGTAAGAGATTTAAAAGATCGTATTTTTGTTTCCTCATCACAATTGTACAACTTTAAATAGAAATGAATGGTAAACTGAGTTTGAAATCTAGCAGGGACTATATTTTTGGCGGAATGGCGGCGTATGAAAATATCTTCTTTTCTGCCTCTCAAAATAATTATAGAACAATGAATTTAGTTATACTT